TGCGTATCAACTGGGACATTAAATCGTGATTGACAGTATAATATTCCCAGGTAGCAACAGATGACGATGAAATTCAATCCGAAAAAATCCTTCTGGCTTCCGTCAGAATACCAAATCGTCGTCCCCTTTGCAGCAACTGTATGTAGAAAGGGTTTACTCCTGGTTTGCCCACTTTTAATTATACCAATTATCTATTAGTAAAGAAAACAAAAAAGACAAAAGGTTTAATGAGCATACAATTGTATAGTCTGTTCCAACTTAGGTATATAGTTTATTAGTGTTTTCTATATATAAGGTATTTTATATTTTGTAATTCCATTTTCATTTATATAGAAAAATAATAAATAAATCAAATATCTTTTCTCTCAATAACTTAATATCAAATCAATCGATTCATTTAACATACATATGTGTACAACAACATGTAATGACAAAACAATGACATTCAGTTATAAAAGTGTCTTACTATTCATTAGTTTTTAAATGATTTTCATGATATAAATACACCAATACAAGTTGTCTTTTATTGCAAATATAATTTAAATAATATAATAATCAAGTTTATAAATGCTGTTATCTGCTCTTTGGTCGGGTTGTTGTCTCTTTGACATATTCCCTATTTCCATTCTCAATTTTATTGCATAATGAAATAAACAAAGCACTAATGTAAAATAAGTCATATGGGGCACCATATGTATAATGATGGGAAATACAATCTTTTATATATATATATATTTCAAAAGTCACAAAACTTAGTTTGATTTTAACAAAAAATGAATTCTAGGGGTTCTTTGATATGCTGAATCTAAACATGTATTTAGATTTTTGATTTTGGGCCCAGTTTTCAAGTTGGTCCAAATTGGGGTCCAAAATTAAACTTTGTTTGATTTCAACATAAATTGAATATATGGGGTTCTTTGATATGCTGAATCTAACCATGTATTTTGATTTTTTGGCCCCGTTATCAAATTGGTCCACATTAATGTCAAAAGGGTCCAAAATTAAACTTTGTTTGATTTCATCAAAAATTGAATTATTTGGTTCTTTGATATGCTGAATCTAACCATGTATTTAGATTTTGGATATTGGACCATAATAGATAAATTAAAAAAATTTAAGTTCTTAGACCACATTCATTCTGTGTCAGAAACCTATGCTGTGTCAATTATTTAATCACAATCCAAATTCAGAGCTGTATCAAGCTTGAAATGTTGTGTCCATACTTGCCCCAACTGTTCAGGGTTCGACCTCTTCGGTTGTATCAAGCTGCGCCCAGCAGAGCATTTTATCTTTATAATACTACTGTAGACCACATGTCTGTGCCTTTCGCCAAATACACTGGGTAAAGTGGAAGAAGCAGCCTTTCACGGTTACCCCTGTGAACACTGTCTGTGCTGCGTTATTGGTTTCTGTCTCGTAATCAATAAATACCGTTTCTGGTTGGAAGTTGTAACTGATATTGTTGTGTCAAATGTTAAGCTTGGCTTCTGAACAGTTGCATTTATATTCTATTTGTTAGAATTAATTAGATATTTTTATATTAAATTTCAGAACAGTATATTTATTAGAATTAAAAAAAAATAAGTTGAATAAATAAAAAGAAATTTTAATGACATTTGTTCTAATCTTTAGTTTCATTATTTTACATATTTACTTTTTTTCAGAATTTACCAGCAATTAAAACTATTTGTTGATAATTTGTAAAAATAATAAACATATTTGTACACATATTTGTTTATTTTTTTTTATTTTATATTTGTCAAATGCAATACATTTTCCTGCTCAAAACTATATAAAATATAAAATATTTTGGCAATTTTTCCTTGATTTATTAGCAGAATATAGTATCTTTTATAAAATTTTACAGGTAAAAAAATAGGTAAAATATTTGACTATAATTCAGAAATAAACTATAATTGTTAAAACAACAATTCCCCCTATGTTTACATATTCATGTAATTAAAAGTGGGCAAACCAGGATGACACCGTAGAAAGGGGTACGTTATTATCAATTGTCACCTGGTGAGATTGTAAAAGGTAAAACTAGGATTCCACATGGCTAAGGTGTTAATTGACTTCTTAATTTATCAGTGACGTAATATATGGATTTGAAGTGACCCCCGCTTATTTTTCTAATTTATTCTTTCCGCTAAGTGAACGACCTCAGCGGGAATCCAAGCATTTCTTCGTGACAATTAAAGGTACAAAGTAAGGCGGCATATTAGATCGTCTATTACTAAAACCTACAACACAACAGTAGTCCGTTTAAAAATCTTTTAATGTGTCATTGTTAATAAAGTTGTTTCGTCAATATATATTTTGATTCAAATGATGCTTGTGTACATATAAACGCAAACACTTAATCAGGTGATTGTTTTTCCAAGTCTGCATTGAGCGTTCCTAGAAATTTATAAAGTGTTGTTTTGTGAGGGGATCAAAATGTAGAGGTGTGAATGAGTGTTTTATATGTGCAATAATTTCGGCCTCCAAACTTTAGTGCAAATCTGCAGTTGTTTCATGTATTTGATATGCAAATTATCACAAAACTAAAAGGAAAAGATGGATGAATTAATAGTTGATCATTTAACGTCCAGTGGTATCTATTATAGATTCATTATTAGGGGGAGAACAATAATTATGAACATTGCCAATCATACCACGTCTTCTTTTTTATAAGAACGTACATGTCTTTCTATGTTGTGATGTTACACTATTGTTTCAGAAAAAGGGTGAAGGTTTGGTACCATTAAAACGTTTAAACCCGCTGCATTTGTTTGCACCTGTCCTAAGTCAGGAATCTGATGTTCAGTAGTTGTCGTTTGTTGATGTGGTTCATAAGTGTTTCTCGTTTCTCGTTTTTTATATAGATTAGACCGTTGGTTTTCCCGTTTGAATGGTTTTACACTAGTAATTTTTGGGGCCCTTTATAGCTTACTGTTCGGTGTGAGCCAAGGCTCCGTGTTGAAGACCGTACTGTGACCTATAATGGTTTACTTTTATAAATTTTGACTTGGATGGAGAGTTGTCTCATTGTCACTCATACCACATCTTCTTATATCTATGTGTAGATTTTCGTCTTTTACTGTAAACGACAGTGTCCCCGGGAGTCAAAGCCGAAATTAAACTGTGTAAATTTCTGAAACATATATTTCATTATTTAACCAATGTAAGCAAAACAAATAATATCGTTTTGAGCTATAAAACCAAGGCAATCCTTTATACTAGACAAAATTTGCTGGATCTTGATAGATGCATACGAAACTTCAATGAATTGTTTGTATTTTTCAAAATAACTATTATATCCGATACAAATGAAAAAAAATCTATCGGATAACAACTACCGTGTTTTCTATATATGAGACAAAATTTATCCCTATTGGAGTCAAAGTTGTACTATGGATTCGTAAAGGACAAAACATATCCTCAGTAACGGAACAAAAAATACCCCCATGGTAAAAAAAATCCGTCATTCTTGAATAATCCTAGAAGGTTAACAAAGTGGTATAAATATTGTAAATTATTTTTTCGGATATTAATCTTTTAGGCATACATTAAAAACGGTGTCCCGGATATGCAATCATGAACACGATGAAAAGTGAATCCGAGAAAGTGTTACATGTTTATTCTATTCAAATAAAGACTTGTTACGATAATACCATATATTTAACTTTTTTTAATCAGAAAATAAAAAAAGACTGTTTTTTAAACCCGTAAACACAATTTCAAGTTAAAAAAGTTCCCCAATTTCAAATTATTCTTAAGGAATACGTGATATATTTGCCTGATCTTATACTTTTTTAATTACAAAATGCCTTTAAATACATATAATGTTTATTTTTATTTAATTTGCCACAAAACGTATTTAGCTTAGTTTAAATGAAAATAAAGAACAGAGAATAAAACACTGTTGAAGAGAAAATACATAATTTTTATTCGCGTTAAATTCGTCTCAGTTTGTTAATTCAAGTTTGACATCTAACATCTTAATCCGCAATTCACATTTACCCGACAACCTTGTATATTGTATTTTCTTAATGGAATACCCTCATGTGCATGTGACCATCAGAAACTGAGACAAATAGGATATTTGTAATGATATTTATCAAAACTTAAATGATTGAAAAAATCTTAGTAGAATATGTATTTGCCAAATAAGCGAAGAATTATAATCTAGCAGAGTTCAACATTGGAGAAATGACTCAAGTTGAACGTTAATACTGATAAGATGTCCAAAATATATGTACATGTATATTGCGATTGGTTCTGTAGTATATCAATGGTATTAAACGCCCGTTGAGGGACAAAAATTTGTCAGCTTAAAAATCTAATTCTGGTTTTAATTTTCTTACTCAAGTATAGATTTAAGTAAAGTTTATAGTTACAATATTTTTAGATTCAATATTTTATTATAGTCTCACCACATACAAACATAAAATGAGATTCACAGAAATAAACATAAAACATTATAACATTTGCATTGTATGCACCAATCTTAAAAAAAGATTTATGAGAGACTTTTAAGACACAATATCTACATATAAACATATTTTTACTCATTTACATTTAAAATTTACAGTGTCCATCTATACTAAATGAAAATAAAACATGTGTTTCTTTAAGAACTAGTGAAATAAAATACCGTTTCTTTTCAATAAAATATTGTTGATGTTTTTGGCAACTATAGCAGCAACATTGTCGTTATTAAATACAAATATAAAATTTTCGCTATCTGATTATAGGTTTAAATGTGCATTAAAACGTTTAGCTTAATGTATCATGATTTGTCTTAAATCTACATATAATGGGCATTTTAAAAGGACACGAAGTTCATCTTCAATAGTACAGCTACAAAACATTTCATCTCGTGGACTTCTTTTCTTTCATACCTTCCAGTTTCTATTTTTAGTGGAGCTACCCCACATCTAAATCTTGCAAAAGCACTTCTGTTTTTAATTGACAGAATATTTTTTAAAAATAACAGTTGTTCAACAGTATATGTTTTAGCCCATGTCGCTCAGTTGAATAGAAATTCTAATTTTAACTGTTCTGTCGTAGAAGTGTCATCATGTTATTGTTTGTACGTAGAACATGTATCATTATATCAAAATGTGTCAGTCCCAGCCAAGACTCACTGAATAAACACGAAATATTTACAGACGATAAATAAATTTTACACAAAAAGTCATGAATCTGTATGAACGTTATGTACGATGAAGTTAATTAAGAGTTCACAAGAAGGTAAGTAAAAATGTAAATTTTATTTAAAGTCGGAACATATATACACTATAACAGATAAAATATGAGCTTTGATGAACTCTATAACCGACTATCATCTAAAAAACACAATGAATGAACGTTACAATTAGAGATGAACGATTGACGAATGCACGTTACACGGTTATATACGATTGATGAACGCACAATAAACGGTTAAGAATGAATGATTGATGAGCGCACGATACACGGTTAAGAATGAATGAACGATGCACGCACGTTACACGGAAATCACACGGAATGAGGAATGATGAGCGCACAATTGGTACACGCACGATACACGCACGCAACACGCACGATACACGATGGCCGCACGGAAAATTGGTCAGTTTGAATTTTAGAAGGTCTGTTTGAGCGGTTAATTTTAAGGCCACTGGTTAAAAAAAATACGTTGGTAGGTGATGGAAAATGTGTCATATTAGGTGACCAACAAACCCCTGAGTGAGATGTTACTTAAGTTCCAATGAACTTGATTAAGTTGCGTTTTCTTAATTTGACCCATCAGGTCCTACTTTCGCTCGGGCGTTGGTGCGTATTTATTTATATATTAGGACAAACCAGGCTTCCATCTCACCGTGTGATTTTCTGTTGGGAAGAGAAGTCTATCTTTCTATCCCGCATCCGCTCCCCTTTTAATCTCAAATGGCTTGAATGAAGTAAAGAAGTCGTTAAAAGCTCAATAGTAATTTTAGAAAAGTAAAGCATATACATCAGACATAAGGTTTAAGGTGTATTTATTTGTTGCTTTTATTGATGACGAAATGATATGCATAGGCAAAATGGTGAAACAGGAGAGTTCATCTGTTTTAAGAACCTATACCCTGGAGAGTAAAAAATTGATCTATAAAAGGAATTCGAATTCTACATCGAAATAGCAATACACCTATACGAGACACATAAAAACGTGTAATACAATTGTTCATCTTGAATTTTTCGGGATTTTACCTGACACCTAGATATGAAATTTTACCAGTTTCGGTTGGAAAAAATTATATATTTTCCAATATGTGATATCTAACATAATGATAAATTTTAAAAAAAAATGACTTTCTGATCAATCTATATAACATTGAGTTTATTTTGTGAGTACACAGAACGAAAAAAAAACACGTTTTATGCTGTTAGCCCAAATTTTAATTTCAATAGATTTATTAAAGCATATCACCCTCGTAACTTTCCATACTTCAATGTGCGGTTATACATATGTATAACAAAAGACAAACAAGAAGCGCAGGAATTTTTCAGTACGAATTCATTGTTCTTTATCCTTGTACAATTTCAAATTTGCACGTAATACTTGCCACTGGATGTTAGAAACCCATCAATCCTAATCAGACGTTTTATTCATTTGTCTACCTCTTATCGAGTGTTTTTTGTCAATGTGTTATCATTTCTCCCCCTTTGGCTGCATAATTGAATTTTTGGTTCTGAATGCTTTTCAATTTCGTACTGTATAAGACCTGAAACTTTTGATTCGATCGTCACTGATGAGTCTAGTGTACATGAAACGCACGTCTTGCGTACAAAACTATCAACCTGGTATCTTTCAAGGTTTTTTTTTACATGTTAGAAACAAATTTCTCGAGAAATATGAACCCTTCAATTGAATTAATTAGATGTAAGAAGATGTGGTCAGGGGCGGATCCAGCCATTTTTAAAAGGGGGGTTCCCAACCCAGGATAAAGAGGGGTTCCAACCATATGTCCCCATTCAAATGCATTGATCGTCAAAAAAAGGGGGGGTTCCAACCCCCGGACCCCCCCCCCCCCCCCTTCTGGATGAGTGCCAATGAGACAACTCTCCATCCAAGTCACAATTTGTAAAAAAGTAAGAATGATAACACGTGTAATGTGTCTATGGATATACTTTATAGATGTATTTCCCTCAGTTTTAGTTTGTTACCCGGATTTGCTTTTGCTTAATCGAATTATGACTACTGAAGGTATAAAACCACTAATTTATAGCCCCATTGCTTTCTATGTTAAATTCTGCAATTTCAAGCATAAATGGCTACTTTATCTTAAGTTCAAATAAAGTGGCAGTTATTTCATGTCAAAACTGTACCTTATGCTGACTTGTGCTGAAAAATTCAACATACCTTTAATTGCATATTAGAGCGTACTGGTTCCCGGAAGTTTGATAGTACAAAAACAGGAACTTCTGATCTGAACAACAGGCCAAATGAGCCCTCCTATTAAAATTTCCTATACTTCTTTATTATTCAAATAAAACTTTCAACAAGGTTCTACAGTGACCCCAAGTCCCCAAGCTTTCATTTGATACTAAAACTACCCAAATATTCCCACTATTGACAAAGATACAGCTATGCGTAGGAACTATTTTGTTTAAAATATGTACTATTTTCTTGTATGTTCTTTCCGACCGGGCCTGAATTAGTGGTTCTATACCTATAACAGCACCAAACTTGTTATATTGACTTCTGCTTGACTTAATTTCCTTCTATGATCTATTTCTAGCATAGAAAAACACATAAAGCTTTTGTCAAAACACTATATCACTGAATTCAAGCTCAAATTGGACTGGTAGTAACATATGCGTTAAACAAAGAAAACTACATATAGATACTAATAGTGACAGATATGACACTTTTTCAATTTTTACCAGTTCTGATTTGTTAATATCTACTCAAATAACAGTGTTCTTACCTATATGTCTTATTTTTATCAGAGATTCTTCCTTGAATACAAATACAGTGGTCCGAACATAAAATATAATTGATAATTTTGTCCCCCCTTTTTTCTACATGTTGGAAAAGGAGAGTGATTAGGTAAAAAAAACATACTTTTATGTATAAACATGGATCAACAAAGCAATTTATGTATCTCCAAGCTAGACAACTTGCTAAAATGATTATAAAATGCATTTCAAGTGAGATTTTGGAATTCCTATATAAGTATACACCAATTTTCCTTGAAATAAATAATTCACCAAGAAACACAATAAAACATGAACACTCACTAGATAATTTGACCAAAAACAATATTTATACTATAAACTAGTCATAATATACAAGTTTCATTGGTTTCAGTGTTAGATAATCCAAAAATTTAAATTTCAGGTAAAATCTTAACTGTGTGCATGCTAAATGACCAAAAAAGGCTAAAATACCTTATTGTAGCAATTTGAGGGCTGTAATTTGACACTAACATAATTGTTACATAAAAAAAATAATGTAACATGATTTCTGACAACAAATGTGACCAATTTTCACTGTAAAGGGTATGATTTCTAAAAATAGAATTTCTCATGCCTGTCAGTAATAGGTATAAAACCACTAATTTATAGCCCCATTGCTTTCTATGTTAAATTCTGCAATTTCAAGCATAAATGGCTACTTTATCTTAAGTTCAAATAAAGTGGCAGTTATTTCATGTCAAAACTGTACCTTATGCTGACTTGTGCTGAAAAATTCAACATACCTTTAATTGCATATTAGAGCGTACTGGTTCCCGGAAGTTTGATAGTACAAAAACAGGAACTTCTGATCTGAACAACAGGCCAAATGAGCCCTCCTATTAAAATTTCCTATACTTCTTTATTATTCAAATAAAACTTTCAACAAGGTTCTACAGTGACCCCAAGTCCCCAAGCTTTCATTTGATACTAAAACTACCCAAATATTCCCACTATTGACAAAGATACAGCTATGCGTAGGAACTATTTTGTTTAAAATATGTACTATTTTCTTGTATGTTCTTTCCGACCGGGCCTGAATTAGTGGTTCTATACCTGAACAGCGGTATACTACTGTTGCCTTTATTTATAGACATCTATCTATTGCTGAAGTCTGTATGTTGCCATCTAGATGTCTTTTTGGTCATGTATGTCGTTAGGTCGCTGTTTTATTGGCGTGAACTCCCCATTTCCTTTTATTCTTATACATATACTCTTTCAATTACAGGGGCCTCGGTGGCCAAGTGGTCTAAGTAGTTCTACTACTGTAACCACTAGCCAGTCAACACTGAGGTTGTGAGTTCGACTCCAATCTTAATTGACTAGGATTATCAGTTTTCCTATCGAAGGTCGGTGGTTTTCTCCGGGCACTCCGGCTTCCTCCACCAATAATAACTGACCGCCACGAAATAGCCCAAATGTGGCGCTTAAAAGTGGCGTTAAAACACCAACAATCAATCAATCAATCAATCTTTCAATTACAGATGTTCCTTCACGTCTTCAAGGTCATTGGTTGCATCCTACAAATGGTCGTTCTGTCGATTAAAGTTCTGTTATCAAGGTGTTCTCCATCTATCAAAGAATCAATTGCAGCAAGATTTAGAAAAATAAACGAAGGAACTACACTCTCTGACGAAGACTGTATGAACTCCATTTATACAATGGCCTTTTTCAAACAAGTATGGAGGGCGATGTATTTAGATGTTTTTAAAACTGCTAAGTTACACGGCAAACCACCAAACGTCGAAGTGATTAAGATAGACAATTTGGTCAAAACGAGGCTTTCAGACTTTCAACGGAAAGGAAGACCACTGGTATTAAATTTTGGCAGTTGTACGTGACCACCGTTTATGGTTAAGCTTGAGCACTTCAATGAAGTAATAGCTCGCTTTTCTGATATCGCTGATTTTTTAATCATTTACATTGAAGAGGCACATCCCTCTGATGGTTGGAAATTTGGAAATAACATAGAAATAAATTATCATAGAAACTTGCAAGAACGCATTACAGCAGCTAAACGGCTACAATCTTTTGGACCAAAATGTTCAATTGTTGTGGATAACATGCTAGATGAGGCTAATTTGCAGTACGGAGGGCTCTATGAGCGTTTATATATTGTTTTAAATGACGTCATCGTATTTGCTGGTGAAAGAGGACCAGCAGGGTATCGTGTTGAAGACATAGAGCAGTGGTTAGAGAATTATAATAGTTAGACATGTATTTGTATATTTAATAAGCAGTTAAACAATATAAAAGCAGTAAAATATGATGGTAAGAAGAGAGTAAGACGATTATGTTTTATCATGTACACTATCGTTTGTGGCATAGACTGCAAACTGTTCAAGTTTTAATTTTTTTTTTTGAAAATGTTATCAGGTAAAAGAAATCATTAAGAAACACTTGTACCATTATGAAAATATGCCATGTAGACCGAAAAATACTACGAAATAACTCTTTTTAAAACTATAACACGCTGGCTTTTTATTTCAAGCTGGAAAATTGGTTAAATAAGTATTGACTGCATTTGATGGAAGTAGCATGCAAATATCTGCTATGTAATTGTATTTTTTTCTTATGAATAATATAGAATGAGCTGTGTCAGATAGAAATCGACCTTATGCAAATAAATACAAATACATGTTGTACGCTGTATTTGATGGAGAAATGTGCCTGGAAATGCTTCAACCGTTTCTAAATATGGATATTTTGCAAGAATGTTTAAATTCAGACCAACAAGTTACCTTAAATGCCAGAATTTTATTTTCTAATCAATCACAGTGAAATGCATGTATATGTAACTATCACCTCTTGCATAAGATCGATTTCTATCCGACGCAGCTCAAATGTTATTTTGACAATTAGTAAGGCTATAGTCTGTTTATTATGACATATTTAAAAATCATTTTAGTGATCATTTCCAGTCTAACGTATGAAGACAAATTTGTAAATAGTTGTCAGATTTGTTGGAAGCCATTCTGCTGGATATGTTATAATAAAATTGTTATGAAAAACATCGTTGGTTTTATGAATTCCAATGTGAAGAAAAGACTGAGTTTACTTCTATTTTTTCTACTTTTAGAAGGTTTGTATTGTGTCTAACTGGATGGTTAGAAATATAATGATATCGCCTTTCTTCTTCAATTATTTTACGAATTGTTGCTTTAATCAGGCTGTGCGTAAATGCAGAAACAGCGTTTCTAATGAAAGTGATAGAATTTGTCGAAAATATGTTAATCAAGAACAAGATCTTTATATGTTATGAAGTTGCTTTTTTCGTAATGTAGATATTGCCTCATCTGAAAGGATTGACTTCAATTGCTACGTAACTGCACGCAAGGTACGCTGAGGTTATAAGAAGGTTCTTTGGTTGCCAATTCTAACAAGACTTAATGTTAAGTATGATTCAAACTAACAAAACTTCCAGTAGGTGATTCGTTCGAGGAAATCAAACACATAATTATTTTTGAAATTTTGTTTACAATGCAAAGTTATATCAACAGCTACCTATAATTTCTACTTTTACTTTTGTTCATACGAAATGTAAATAATACCTATAATGTTTAACGTGAAATAACTCCATGATCTGCCATGCATTTCTTTGAAACTTTCAAGTCAATTTAATTCCATGAGCAGAGGTATGAGAAGAAACATTACTCATGATATGTACTCAACAGTTTATAAAGGTCGGTAGTTCTCTTCAGGTACTCTGACTTCCTCAATTAACTAAACTGGCCACCATGATATCACCAAGCAGGCTAAAAGTGACGTTAAACACAACAAATCAATCAATTAATTATGACAACTGATCAATAACAACTTGTGTGAATCCTATTTGTTATATAAATTGCATGATTATGATATTTACTGTACAAGAACATAGTTTATTTATTATTTGAAATTGGGCTTTTAACTACCTTTCAGTAACTACGAGTACTCTTATACCAGTGTATCTCTATTAAACCATTTCAAATTGATACGGTCATTTTGAACTAAACATCTCTTAAAATTCTGAACAATACCTTTGTAAATTATTTTCAGTCTTTCATGTCATTTTCATGGCGGTAAATTCGCTTGCAGTCAATTACGATCTGATCAGTCTACGTTCAGAAGGTATGACAGTTGTTTATAGGTTGCACTTTGTAAATACAGATGTTTCACAAACCACGCCTCTTTTGGGGAGATATATAATATTCATAGATATTTTGTTTTGTTTACGTACTGGTTCCCAGATATGATCTCTATACTTCATCTCGTAGAGACATAACTTGGGAATGTTACCAGCATAAATACCCATGGATAGCGGTTAAATTGAATTCTGAGGAAGATCCAAAGTCAAGAGAGGGGTAATACATAATTTTAGTATAAGTTTAAACTCTTATAATTTCGGGGCATATAAATGTTGAAAATATGCCGCACAGCCCTATGTTTTGACCTTTGAAAAAAATAGTAGTGCATATAAACTTTCCGTTCTGGGATATAATTTTTTACGAAACTTCATAGTAAAAGTGGCACAGTTTAAGCCGTAAAAGGAGTTTCTATGGAAATTGCATCGTCTATATTCACAGAAGTGCAACCTTTAGTTCCATTATATTGACACAATTAGATGAGCAACTATAACTGATATATTTGGTTTACGTCACAATATATGGGATCCAACAGGCAAAACTGTGTAAACATACATCACACTGACTGAAAGATTCAAACAAAAAAACAAATAAATCTGTCGAAGACGCCCACAAAAAAAGACTTTGTAGTCGATGGTACACACAGTATAGTAAAACATAATGACATATACACTGTCCCGATAGAATATAAATTAAGTAAAAATTAGCCCAAGGGTATACAAAATGAACACACAATTATAAAAACCTCATCAGTCCGAATCGCCTTTGGACCCACCTGCATCCGGAACGCCTTGAGAAACGAAGCATCCTATACTTTGTCATTAATTAAAAAACGGAATGTTTTATTGTATTCTCTCAGGACTACAGAGTTTTACATTATTTTACATTTTAAAGACAAGAGAGTAACAATTTCTTATATGTCATACCTTCATAGTAACCCAATGCATCGCTACTGGCAAGATCTAAATGAAGTAAAATTTAGTTTATGAACATTGAAAATGTACCTGTCTTTATTTCATTTTGATGCTCACAGACTTTTACATGCTATCGCTACAGTAGATGCAATAGAGACCACAGATCATATTCTACTGACACGATTGCAATATCAATAGTATTTCAATGGCAATCGGAAACGTTGACCAAAATCTGCTATACACCATTGCAATATCCCTAATATTACAATGCTAATTGGAAAACGCAAAAATCTGCTGTACACGATAGCCAAAACATTTGTTTAAATAGCAATCGAGAAAACATATCAATCATCCTATTGTATATGCCGTAATGATAGCCGATATTATGGTGTGTTGCTGCAAAAAGTTAAATGTATTCACCGCTGAAACTTTATTTTTAAGCAAACTTGAGGAAAGTATAACCTCTCGAAAAATTACGAGTTGTTATAACAAACTTTAACTTAGAAACAAATCTGTTTGTCTCGTCAATTAAAAATGGATCGATAAAGTCACATAAATCTTTTTTCCAAAATTTAAATGATTTCATTGGATGGATCTCGTATTCTCAGTTGAGATAGATTTTAATCGTATGAATTATGGAGATTGATTTTGGATGATGACGTCCGCACCGTCATTAACGCATTAAGTCTTTGTTATCGGGTTTCCCTATACGTTACTAAGTTACCTGAAAATTTAAAATATAAATAAGTATTAACAAAAATACCGAGCTCCAAGGTAAATTCAAAAGGGGGAATGTGCATAAACCCTAACAAAATCAACGTAAGACTATATCACGGGTAATGTTGACTTTATCAACCAACGGAAAGAAAAGAAAACAGCTGTCATATTCCTGGCTTGGTCATAGCATTTTACGAAGAAAACGGTGGATTAACCATGGTTTTATAGCTAGCTCAACCTCCCAGTTTTATGATAATTGTTTATATAAATCTGATAGTTTTATTCGACATCAAGTGAAGAATTCTGAACAAAACAGTGTTAGAGACCAATAAGAACTTTTGTAGTGAATTTGAAGTCCAACTTTTGTTACCGTTAAACATAAGAAATGTCATGTTTCTAGTGTTGATAACTTTCATTCACTGAGGTCTGAACAAACTATCAGTCTATAATATGATAATAACACCATTATAGCGCTTACACTCCTGAGAAATGCTTCTATAATTGCTTACATCGACTTTATTTGAACTTTGGTGGATAGTTGTCTCATTGGCTATCATACCTCATCTCCTTATATTTATTTTTATATTAAACCCCAAAAATTGAAAGCCATGGATGAATGAATACCTGAATACCTGTAATTGCAATTACTATACACAAGAATATGAGGAAAAACGATCGATACAATAACATATAAATATGGCTTATGTTAGGATGCCTAACTTTTTCTACCTCAAAGGAACAATCTCTAACAAACTGATATTTATTAAAAGGATATATGTATGTTAGAGTTTTGACTAATAACGTATGTTGCTAACGACTTGGGTAATGGTTCAGACTAAATTGGCAAAACATTTTTTACAAACATTACGACTGTTTGCTCACTTTTACAGGTTAAAAATTAAATTTCAACCAATCAGATTATGAACTGTACATGTAAACCTTCAACAAATTATATTTCAAAGATAGGTTTAGATTACATGTATTCGATTAAAAAGATATCACTGAACTTTTACGATCAATTGAATGATGCTGCATGATTTTTTGCATATGTTTTGTTTTTTTATTTAATGACACATGTTCTTCTATACTTCTTAAGGTTATTCGGAGGTAAATTGGTACAATTCACAACATTTATTTGTTATGGTTCAAGATAACATCTTTGGTATTCCAAATAGCGTGTTGTAAACTTGTTTTTGTCTTTGTTTAAAATGATGGTACTGATTAAGCAACTCTGATTTTGTTTGCAATGAGTGGAACAGTGGTGGGGACTAATCTTATAGGTAATGGGTGTTGTTTGCATTGAGTGGAACAGTGGTGAGAACTAATTTTAAAGATAATGGATTTTGTTTGCACTGAGTGGAACAGTGGTGAGGACTAATCTTATAGGTAATGGATGTTGTTTGCACTGAGTGGAACAGTGGTGAGAACTTATCTTACAGGTAATGAATTTTGTTTCAAATGAGTGGAACAGTGGTGAGAACTAATCTTACAGGTAATTGATTTTGTTTGCTAAGAGTTGAACAGTGGTGAGAACTGATCTTACAGGTAATGGATTTTGTTTGCACTGAGTTGAACAGTGGTGACTAATCTTACAGGTAATGGATTTTTCAACAATTCCCATCACGTGATGACTTTTACCTTATCTTGCCTGTTCTGTTCATCTACATGACTATGATACCCTTTAAAGAAAAGAAGAGCTGAGAGCCCAGACTCAATAGTGAAAAGTAACGTTCTGTTCAATAGCTTTGTATAGTCATTTTTGTACTTAAAGTTATTTCTGACATTCTTTCAGGGGACTAGTTCTCTAAAATACCCAAGTTATCCTGAGAAAAGCAATACCAAACTAGATTTGTAATTGCTAGCAATAACGGATGGCACCCTCGTCCCCCAATTGCCAGGAAAACGGCAGCCATTTCGAAAATTCCAAAGTTGAACAGCACATCTACACATGCCAATTAACATTGTTGTCAAATTGGGATCATTTTGAAATTTTTGCTGTTTCCATGGTAACAGCGGCCATTTTGGAAATTCCAAGGTTAAATTGAACATCAGCATATGCCAATTAACATTTGCGCGGAATTTTCTTTACTTCGGAGCATTTTGAAATTTTTGACATTTTTGCTGTTTCCATGGTAATGGTGACCATTTCCAAAATACCAAAAACAGATGCTACATGGGCACATGTTACATATACATAAATTTTAATTGGATTTGATGTAATATTTGTTAAGAAAATGCTGATTTAATGTAGTTTCCCA